CAAGAGTAGTGGCCTGCACAAAGGGACCTTTACAAAGAAGAGACCATTCCAGGATCAATAGCTAGCTGTAAAACCACTGATAGCATAATTCCTGTAACTTCTAATGAAGTGTGAGGCCCTTGACAGGTAGGACTCAGAAATAAAACTGCCATGTAATTGCTGTAGGAAACAAAACTTCCCATGAAACTCATCACATTGAAAACCAAGTTCTTTCTACACAGCAAGATTCATCAGGAACCATTCAAAATTAGTGTGGCATCAATGATCATAATGAAAAAACAGTCTCTAATCTTAAAAAAAAAAAATTTGAAGATAATTTATAAATCAGTAAATTGTGGGTTTGTTCCCCCCCCCCCGGGGAAAACAAATCCCACAACAAAAGTTTTTCCCCCCCCCCCCCCCCCCGTAGGAACAAAGCTCCATAGATAGATTTGAAAGGTCCAAAATTCTTCAAAAGTTTCTTCTGTAAAACTTTTGTACAACACTTTTCTTAACCAGACAACACTCACTTATTGACTCCAAAAATGAAGAATTAAATATTACAGCGCTCTTTCACAGTTCATTGTGAAAAATTCTACCATTTTCATTGACAAAACTGGGTCATAAAAAAACCTGTTTTGTCTTACTTTTTGTAATACGGGTATGTGTGCATGTATGTAGGAAAGCAGAGACTTGATATAACTACAAAGACAAGGTGTTTTTCAACAGTAAGATTAACCTAGTGAAAACATAGCTATTACTCACATTTCTCTTCAGAAATATGACTTGGTATTCCTCATTGTTTTCATTTTCACATCCAGCTTCCAAAATCCTTCTCAAATCCTTCCTCTAGCCATACATCTGTTTATTTTCTCACCCTAGAAGCACACTTTCAACTGTTTATTACCCAACCTCATCTTACTGTGGGCAGCACTCACTGCTTTTAACCTACAGTCATTTTAGAGCTTGGTAAGATTCTTTATGAAACTTGCCAGGCTACCAATTTTTCTGTCAGAAAATTTGATTACTGATGCTTCTACCTCCAGGAGGTCGGCAAAATAAAACATTAAACTTCCCAGCAAGCCTTTACACACTGATGCAATGGATGTAGAGGCACAAAAGATGCTCCTGTAGAGGAAAAAGCAACTCAAAACACATCAGCGCAGCTGAAGCTTTTTAGGATGACACAACAGATCTGATTTCTGTTGCAGGTTCTTTAACAGGCAGGTAGACCTGGTTCCACAGAGTACTGTCTGACAGCCACTGACAAACTTAGGGTCAATTCATTTTTTTCCCCAAAAAAATTAATGTCAAATACCATGATTTAGCACGGGATTTTCATAAAGACATTTAAAGTAAAATAATGCATTTAGCATGACCCTGGTCCCTTGAGCTCTTCCTGGAATTGCCTTATTCCTGAACATGCCACCTAATCTGTTGCCTAAAGAATTTCTAAATAAATTTCAAACACCAGTTCAGCCACACTGGGAGGAAGGTTTTTCTTTCCATTTCACAGATGGGAAAGTGAAGCATACAGGGGCTAGAAAGCCTTCTCAGGTTGACATGGCAAACAGCAGGGACAGAGAGAGGGCTCAGATGGTCTCATTCTGGCCTTGAGCTCCAACACATCAGCAAGAGAGGAGACTTGTCTTCTCTTAGCTATGACTGACTTGAATTGCTATAGTGCCTAGCCATCATTTTCATATCAGGCAGCAGTCTCATCAGCAGAAAGCTCCCATTGTGATCAATGGGGAGTAGATTTCCGTGCATCTTCTGAAATTATGCGCAAACCACAAATGAGAGAAGTGGAAAAACAAGGGCTGAGTCATGAAGATGCAATATCTATATCAACCCTTATCTTTTCTTATACAAATACAGAACTGTATGGATACGTATCGGCTGACCCTTCCCCCATTGGCACTGCTCAGCAGAACAGCGCATCATCGAGAAGAGTTTGAATGCTGCGACTATCAAGTCTGAGGTCTGTGAAAGGTCACTTCTCCAGAATCAAGCTATTACCCATTTCTTGCTATTATCCATTTCTTCACCACAAGTGACAAAACCTAAAAGCTGGTTTCATGTTAGATGGAATGCCACAGTTTGTACCCTGCTTCTACCATTTCCTTTTAGCAATCTTTTTCTTTAAAACTTCCTCATCTTTCCTGTGAAATCTCTCAATTTCTTGTTACAGAATTTAAGGCATTTTACTGGAAAGGACCATATTCTTTCACTGAAGATGTGCATAGAGACTTCTATCTGTAGCTTCAGTGTAAAACAAGTCATATTTTATTGTAACACAACAATATTAAAGTGCTTGTTAGGCTGTTCAGTGACTACTGTGTATTTCTAACTGCCAAGTCTGTTACTTTTCCTTAATTTAGCCAGTGCAGAAATTATAATCCAAAATCTATGTCTGATAAGGGACAAGTAGTTCATGAGGTAAATAATTTTCAGCTCCAGCATAGCACAGCATTACTATAAACATGGGAATTCTTTAAATTGTGTAATGTTATTTTGTCTTGAGAAAGCCTGACAGTTTCCACAAGGAGGACACCAAAGGATTGGCTGACTTTTAGAGATCAGCAGATGGACAAATTAAAACATTACTCAAGGGAATAGTATAACTTCCAGGGAGCAGGTAGAGAAGGACCATTTATTACAGTAAACCACAAAAGCCCAGCGCTGGAAACTCTCCGTAATCATAAACGTGTTCTTCAGGTGACCTTCCTCCTCATGGCCAGCAGTCAACTCCTGCACATTGAGCAGCGAAGTGTCGCCGGAGATGCGTAAGCACGGCCCTGCTGAAGCTAACTAATGAGGGCAATGAGCGTGCCCTGGGAGCCAGGCTGCTGTTCTTGAGCTCAGCGTGCAATATCCTGGGAACTAGGTTATTTATCCCCTATTCACCGATGCCTGCCCAGAGCTAGCAAGGTTCAGTTGGCTTCTTTACGGAAACTCCTCCCACCAAATTCTTATGAAAAAAATCCTTCTAGTGGAATTAGTGTAAGATGGTTGTCGCATCCGAGAGGAAGAGGAGAGGAAACAGCACATGGGCAGCTGCAGTACACAACACACTCTCCACTGGAAGGAGCAGAATGCCTGTGGCAAATTTCCATCCCCTTTTAGTGTCTGTCTTCCTGGTACAGACTGAAGGTCAGTCTGTGGTAAATGGAAAAGATAAATTTGATCATAACTGAACTTACAGAGTATGTGAATTAAGGGTTTCGGGATTTGGTACCGAGATATTCACCCTTTGCAGAAAAAGGCAAAGAAACACAGATGTACTACTGGAATAAGTGATACCAAAGTTCAGCAACCAAGTTTGTTACCAGGGAAAATGGGTGATAGCAGTTTGTACACAGAGCACCTGGGCTGTTACCAGGGCCAGGATTCCCAGGGGCTGAAAGATCCCTGACTCAAGCAGCTTTGGAAGGTTAAAGCTACAAATCAGCAGGAGAGAAACAACAGTAACTATAAAAGGATGTTTGGTAAGACATCTTTTTAAGATTTTTTTTTTTTTCATTCTTGGAAATAACTGTTAGAATAATTTGAACTTTTTAAGCCCAATCCTCTCCTACATAGCAACTTTCTCATCACTACCAGAAGGCCACCAAAAGAACACCTACCATGTACCTTGTGGTTTTTGCTTTCAAAGCATTCACTGGTCAAGCGTTACATAGGACAGTAATTACATGACAGTTTATTTGCTGGGTTGCTAGATTTCTTAGTCTACGGATTAACTTGACAAGTATCATGGCAGCCTTCTCATGCTTAAAATAATTCTATATAATTAAAAGGATGTTACAGCCTCAGTTGGATTTCCCACTTAAAATCACCCTCATCATCTTCAATCTGTCTGTTGAAGGAACAGCAAGTGACATCTCAAACAACTGAGAACAGAAAGCTGCACCCAAGACTTTCAGAACTCATTTGAGCTCAGGACCCTTTGCAGAGCCTTTTTGTTTTGTTTTTTTTTAAACCAGGAGTAGTCCAACTTCAAAACCAAAGATGTTATTTCTCTCTGATTCACCACTGAAAATCTGTCATTATACAGGGAGAATGCAAATAAAGATCTATTCTGCAGTTGTGGAAGACTGTATAAAATCTTAACTATATGCTCAGATACACATAAGATTATTTTTCCAACTGCAATTTAACCTTAATTTCCTTTCTTTGTATTCTATTCATAGTAAGTCACCACACGAAAAGCTTACTCATCACATTTTAAACCAAAAGTGTCTGCAGGGTTTTAAAACATATCATTGAAAATTTATTTTCCCTGTTACAGATCCTATAACCATTACAGATCCTATATCCTAAGATGAGAGTGCTGAAAATACTGTGAGTTAAACATATGGAACAGTGTTCATATCAGTACTCCGAGAGATTCTTTTTTTTCATTGATTCTTTACACCCATCATAAGGTACTAAATTTGCTTGGGCAGAGACTCCTTTTCCTCAAGTTTCAGCCAAAAGTAAAAATTTTGTTGAAGGAAATGCATCAGATGTAGTGAAAATGCTAACTCTACCTTTTGGTTTAATGCCAGGAAGTATATCACTGTGAAATTTAGTCCAAATGGAGAATAGTGTGAGGAAGCATGTGAAAAAAGAAATGGTAATAGTTATTGTGAAAATTAATTTTTAGAGAACAGTATTCAGCTTTGATAGAAAGTGTTTTCTGGGAATGGGTAGAGGCTGTGTTGAACTTCCTTGCACAGCTACATGACCCCTGCCAATCAATGTCAACACTTTATTAATATTTTACTGAAAAAGTGTGAGATGATTCAAACTTCAGCTGTCTTGGTAGGTGTTGCTAAGCAACTTTGCTGCTTGTCTGAGAACTAGTTTTCACAGCAACCTTTCCTTCAAACCAAAGACCTGCATCCACTTGAAACACTTTCCCCTTTGTCAATGAAGAATGCAGGAAGTTACATTCCACCCCTCTCTTTATATTTTCCTCTCCATCTCCCAGTTAAAAAGAAATCAATTTAATAGTGTCTGAAATTCTCCACTTTACTTACCATAGTCACTGTCATAAAACACTATGAATTTCTGCCACCGCAGCTCAGTGACCAGTTTCAGCATAACATCATTGAGGCGAACCGGTGGTCGGGCGGCCAGCGTGTACTCCTCCTCCTCCAGGCTGGGGTTCAGGTGGCAGGCGGTGCGTGGGGAGCCTCCTGTGTTGCGCTGTACAAAAAGGTGTGGGATGTGCATGGCATCCGTCAGGGACTGCAGGGCGTTGGCCGAGGCACAACCAGTGGACGTCACTAAGGCTAAGATCCCCAGGGTCATCAAGTCACAGGCTGGAGAAGACAAGAAATAAAGCAGGGTTAGAACAAGCTCAACAATTCCTTTGACCAATCTAGATGCTAAGGAGGGAGCAAGAGAGGCTTTACCCTTGCCATTAACACAGAGCTGAAATGATTTACACTACAGTACCAGCCGAAGCCTTTCAGTTAGGTCCTACACCTTTACAGTAGGAGACGGTATCTGCAATCTGTACTGATCAGACAAAGTTGAAGACAGATAACATTACTACTGTCATTTCTTCAGACAGGAGCCGATGCGGATGGAGATTGTGGCCCTTGCTTCAGGTCATTCCTGGTGGAAGCAGGAACTGAACTCCGGTCTTTTAAAACCCACTTCATTGCTTTCACCTCTTAATCTTTGTTACGCACATTGGATGAAGACTTTGGATGATAAAGAGCAATTTCTTTCAAGGATTTGTCTTATACAACAGAGTTTTGAAGGATTTTTAAATTGATGAAAAAACATTTGCTGTGTCTCAGAGCAATGAAGAAACAGCAAAGGCACTCAGAACAAAGGCAACTCACGAATGACTAAACAATTATTAACAACACTGTAGCTGTCTTTAAAAAGATCTGGAAAAGCACCTACCATTTAAAAACACAGCATACACATTTGAGCCCATCGGCTTTTGAGAATAAAGCATTAGGTGAGTTTGACACACAGGACATGCAGGCTGGGCAGAGCCCTGGGCAGCCTTGCTCTGCTGCTCAGGACATCCAGCAGCCTCTCGCACGGCTCGCTCTTCCCAGGACTCCTCCGGGTAAGACTCCCTGATACTCAGCTGGGGTTGGAAAATGTTTCCAGCCAAGGCCGCCAGCTATAACTCAGCAGCTATTTAGTCAGTGGTGGTGGTAAGACTGTAAGACTCTAAGGCAGCTGCTGATGCCCATTTTTGCTAGCCCTCTTGAATAAGCAGCAGCAAAGTTGGCCCCAGCTCGCTCAGCACAGCGAGCGCTCATAGCTTAGCGCCGCACCAGCCCTGAGGGTCCCCCGGGGGCACTTGGCACTTCCTGCTCCTCTCCTCCTTTGAAGAGGGCTGGGGGCAAGAGCTCAGGGTTTCAGTAGCTGTTTCAGTCCCCAAGCAACCACCTGCACAAGCACAGCCTGCCCCAAAGAAACCAGCCGCTCTGCTTCCCCAGGACAGAGGCCCACCATAATCAAGCCAGACAGGAGGTGACTGGAGATGCTCCACAGTCCTGCTGCAGTCTACGTGAGCTTGCTAACAGTGGATAAACGAAAGAGCCTCTGGGGTGTAATTCAGAGCCCCTCCAGGACACGCACAGTAGCTGAGCAGGAAATTCAGCTTCCAGCTGGAGAGGGGAGGCTGCCTGCGCTGGTGCTTCCCCCGTACAAGGTGACTGCCTCGGCACGCGAGAGAGCGGGCTGCCCACGCATGGCACCTGCTGGGGGACTGCCGGGGCATGCGTCGGGTCTGGTAACGCAGGAGAGATGCTGCCACCCTGTTACTGGCCCGCCACCTCTGATCTCCGGTGGAAATGGACTGAGCGGAACGGTAGAAAAACGAACACAATGTGTTAAAAGGATTTATTTTTCCTCCTCTAAACACTTTTAAGTGTACCTCCACTTTCAGAGGCCAAAAAGTCAAAGGGGCTGGACAGGTTATGAATAATTAACAGTTAATTATCAATTAATATTAATTACATAAAGCCACAGTAATTAAATACATAAAACTGTTTCTAATGCAACCAATGAACCGTTTCACCAAATATTTTCTTAGACCAGACAGAAAATAAATATATTTCACTTTGATATGGGATAACAGAAAAAAAAAGTTTGATCTTCTCTATGCACAGAACATTCAACACGTATCTCAATGCAACAGAGAAAGATGAAGTGCTTTTGAAATTATTTCCTTGATGGTCTTTACAATAAACATATGTCAGCTGCATTATCTAAATTTACTCTGTGTTGATTATAGTTATATGAAGTAGTTCTTTGTTTTTCCTGAGAGCTGACCTGATTTAACAGCAGGGAGGTATTACATTTGCCAACTGGGAGACCCAGGTTTGGGAACAGATTTGATTTCCCAGGCTTCTTGCCAGAGAAAACGGAACATGTCATACAGGTAATTTATTTAGTCACAGTAGGGGAGGGAACAGAGAAGTGGGAACAGAGGGAGAGAACAGCAGAACTGAGCTATAAACCCCTGCAGAGATCACCAACCAGTGAGCTCTGCTGTCACCGAGGGTGAGAGAAGCAAGCCACACGGGTCTGTAGAAGGAACAATTTACTTGCAAAGCAGACAGAAGGAGAGAAAAAACAAAGCCCTTTCTGATGGAAGGCTGCATTCAGAGAGTCACTTATTTGTGGAATATAGAGCTGATCACCAGTTGTATAACGAGAGAACTTCATTCAGCGGTTGACACTAATCAAAAGCTGCTCGCTTATTAGCAGCAAAAAGACCAGAGATACAAGAGACCACAGAAAATGGGGCCCCTTATGTCCCAGCACAGCCCACCAAACACAGCTGAAATATCTCAGCAAAGACTGTTTTGGTTGAGGCATTCTCCCAGTGTTTTGTAGTTTGTGTCAATGGGTTAAAATGAAGAATTAGTCAATACGCTTCTACAATCTGATATTTTGTCAATTGATTATGTTCTCCCTGAAAGCACATGCTACTGTCCTGGTTTTGGCTGGGATAGAGTTAGTTTTCTTCCTAGTAGCTGGTACAGTGCTGTGTTTTGGATTTAGGGTGAGAACAATGTTGATAACACACCGATGTTTCAGCTGTTGCTGAGCAGTGCTTACACTAGGCAAGGGCTTTTCAGCTTCCCATGCTCTACCGACTGAGCAGGCTGGAGGGGCACAAGAAGCTGGGAGGGGGCACAGCCAGGACAGCTGACCCAAACTGGCC